GAGTTTTTGCACGCTTTGTGGCCAATAGTTCGTCAAGTGTCTCGCCGAATTCATTCTCAGATCCTTTTTTATATGGATGATATTCTTCTCTTATCACAATTGGAGGCCCAACATCAGCACGATCTGACTATTTTATTGGAGGAACTGGAAAAATATGGATGGCGGGTGAATTGGGATAAATGTCAATTTTGCCATGATCGTTTTGAGTATTTGGGGGTGACGCTTACTACTACTGGTCTGGAGCCCACTGACACAATCCTAACCCAGTTTGAGCAAGCTCCTATGCCCACCACACAGTCAGGCTGGCGCCAAATTTGTGGGTGGCTAAACCACTCTGCTCGGTTCATTTGGCAAGGCCACCAGGTGTTGGTTTCTTTACGCAAGGTCCAAGCACATCCTTCATTGGACCGGTGGTGTCGGTTTCTTCCCTTGTTGTGCCACCATTTTGTTCAATGTGTAGTTCCTTCAGCATCATCATCTGGGTCCTTCACAATGATCACTGATGTGAGCAAGCTTGGTTGAGGGGCAGTGCTACTCGCCGGGCGTCGGATTGTTTGTTGTGCCCATGGCTTGTGGTCAACCGCTTTTTAGCACCATATGGGCAATGTCTTGGAGTTGGAGGCCCTTTGCAGGGCCCTTCAAACTTTTCGACCATGGATTTTTGGTGTACCAGTCCATGCTATTATGGATAACTAGGCTGCTGTGAGCTCCAACAAACCCACACACTTGAGCGATTTTCTTAAGCAATGTCTCGATCACCTTTCCTAGTATTCTCCACAGATTTCATTTTGTCTGGGACCATTTATTATTTGGCAGATTTTTTGTCTAGACAGGGGGCTTGGATTTCAGGATTGTCTCGTCTTTGCGTAGTGGCAGGTCATCGCTCATTGGTCATTACTCAGGCACAATGGAAGTAGGCCCATGAAGGGCATTTTGGGGTGAGGAAGACGTATTTTCGTTTTCGCTAGATGGGCCTGCGTCCAACATGGTAGTGGGTGACAGATAGAGTGTGGTCTTGCAGAGTGTGTCAGTTGTTCCATCGACCACAACCGTATAACCCATTTGGCAATTGGCATGTGCTGGAGAAACCTGGCCAAGTTGTTGGCCTGGATTTCACGGGACCTTTTCCCGAGAGAAAAGTGGGAAAAAACGGTTTGTCCTTGTCATTGTGGATATGTTGACTAGACGGGCAGGAGCATGGGCAGTAACAGGGGTGGGAAGGGCAGACATTGTGCGAGGGTTGAAGAAGTGGACAAAAACACAAGGGATCCCTTCGGTCTTGTGTTCTAACGTTTGCAAGGCCACATAGTCCAAAAAGTTGCAAAGGTGGTGCGCACGGGAGGGAGTAATAGAAGAATACTCCCCTCCTTACCATCATGCATCCATTGGGTTTGTCGAATGGTTCAATCAGACACTTTTGAACCGTTTGAGGCGCATGTGGGCAGAGGAACCCAAGTACTTCGCCAAGACGGTCAAGCAGGCGGTGGAGATCTACAACAGCACACCTGTCTCTTCACCAGAGGAGAGCAAGAAGACTCCTAGTTCTTTTGTGTTTGGATCGCCGAACCAACTGGGGAACAGTTCGCCATATGTGTGGGGACGGTTACAGGAGTATACACATCAGCAACACACAAAGGCAAACTATAGGACGAGAGGTTGGCGTATCCATCAGATATTTAGAACTGGAGATTAGGTGTGGCTCTAGAACACAAAAGTCAAAACGCTCAAGGACAAGCTCGAGCCATGGTTAAAGGGTCCGGGTTGGTCGAAGTTGGTTCGCCTGATAACAAATGCAGTTTGGGAAGTGCGGGGACCAGAGGGGAAAGTGTGGGTTAGGCACACTGACATGTTGCGGCCGTATCGGGAAGCAATTTGAAAGGGTTAAGTTTCCAGTGTGTGTGTGTGTGTGTTTGGCGCAGAGAAGCATGTGAGGGCGAGGGAACGATTGAAATATTATATGTGATATATGGCATTTATGGTGGGGAGCGAATGTGTGAATATGGCGTTATGGTGAATGCACATGGGGACAATAGAGTTAGGTAGAGAATATTATTGCAGTGACTGGTGTTTAGAATATCACGCTCATTCTATAATGCATCTAGTTACGGCCTTGCTTCCTGTGTCTGGGAGCGACCGTGTGCAAGCTTGGAAGTGTTCAGTCAACTCGATAGTCAGTATCTGAGGGGAGTTTGCAAGATGGACGGCTTGGTGTTGGGGAGACCTTGGATGTCGACAATGTCATTGCACGTTGGAAACATGGCGTGCATTGCAATGTGCAGATTAGGACGACGATGCATTATGTTGGTAGTACCAAAAGATGGAGGGGATTTAGCGGTGCCTAGCTCCCTTCAATTGGACATTGAGCAAAACATGTAATGAAAAGTTTGGAAGTTGGAAACTTCCCAATGGAAAGCATGGTAGTAGCAACAATCTATTGCATAGAAGCTTACGCACTCCACACCGCACAATGTGTGCAACACACTCAATATGTGATATGATCTGCCGAATTGCCACCATCATAATCCAGAAATTGGACCCCCACTTTTTGAAATGCATATGGAAGTTAACTTTCTAGCATATTCCACATTCACCAGGCAATGTGTTGATATGGTGTTATGCGCAGCGGCCTGATGTAGGGGATGCCTTACTAACGGCCCTTGGTGTGGGGGACGCCCTGCCCAAGATAACTATTCCTCAACCCATCGTAACCACTCTAGGTAGTAGGATACGGGAGTAGGAGGCACTCGTGTTACAGAATCGTCGGACTGCCCACGTCGGCCGCGTTGAGTTGCGTGGGCATCCGCCCCATGACGTCGGCTGGCGTCGGCATTCGCAAATGCCATGGGCAGGCGCCGGCCCCTGGACGGGGACCAACGTGGCCCGCCTCGGCGGCCGCCCGCCGTGTCGGCCTGTGGCCTGCGCATCGGGATTGCCACGTCGGTCAGCGTGGCTACCCGTCGCGTGCCTCCCACGCGCCCCGCCGCTGCCGGCGTGTCCAACGCCCGACGTGCGCCCATGTCGGGGCTCATCGGGCTCCCCCCACGCCGCCCATGCAGCCGGGATCCCGCGTGGGCATTTGTGGGCTCTCATTCGCCATGTCCCTTGTGCAGCCGTGCCTGCCTGCGCATTCACCGTCCCTTATTTCATGCATCGGCATGCATCGGCACCCACCGGCGCCCGTCGGCCGCCATCGGCACCCCGACGCGTGCCGCCACCCCAACCAGGCTCCCCGGCTGCCCTTCGCTCCAAATCGGAGATGGGGGCGCGCAAGGAGAGCGGCATGGTCTGCAGTGGCGACTTTGCTGCTGCCTGGCGGGACGCGGCGCTGTTGTTAAGGGATCCGCGTCATAGAGGGCGAAGGTAGGTTTCATCAATTGCGAGAGGGCTGGGGCGGATTGTGTGAAGGGCAAGGGGCGACTGGGTGTCGTAGCAGGGTCGGGCGATCGCTGGGACGCAAGCCGCCGGGATTGGCTGCTGGAATGCCCTGAGGGCGGAGTGCTGTTAAGGGATCCGCGTCATAGAGGGCGAAGGTAGGTTTCAGCAATTGCGAGAGGGCTGGGGCGGATTGTGTGACAGGCAAGGGGCGACTGGGTGTCTTAGCAGGGTCGGGCGATCGCCGGGACGCAAGCCGCCGGGATTGGCTGCTGGAATGTCCTGAGGGCGGAGTGGCGGGTGTGATGATGCAGGAGGTGTCGGCGGACGCATTCAACATGTATACCCTGGACCTGACACCTTCTACGCGGACCCCGCTCCGCTAGCAGCCACACGCATGGTTCTCTTTCAAAGATCCCATCGAGCTGGGCCGCGCGGCGGCGTGGACCTGCACCCCGATGTGGAGGTGCTGTCATGTGAGATCTCCCGCAGTGAGGTCACCAGGGAGAGCCCCCCTGGCGTCGGTGTTCGAGAGCCACACCGGTATCCGTGTTCAAGGCGCAGACGCACAGCGCCTACGACAGCCAGACGCTGTCCACCGGCGACTGCGGGGGGTCATGCCTTATGTGGTCGATGGGCAGCCTGTCAGAGACCAACTGTGGAGTCGGGGCAGGGCCCACGCTGGGCGCCGCACCCAGGCCCGCGTGTGTCGAAGGGCTTTTCTATGGGCGACCTGAAATCCACGGGCTCAGCGAGGTCGGGGGACTCCAGACCCAAGGGGCAGGGCGACCGCAAGCTCTCGGCGCAGGTGACCAAGGCAACGCAGGGCCAGAAGCCGGGCGATGGCTCCAGCGCGGCGCTTTTGCAACTCTGGGCCGTTGCATCCAAACCTTTATCGAACTCCCTTCTTGTCTCTGTTGTGTTTAGTAGGGACGTAAAACTCAAAAGTGCAGTGAACAGATACGGAGTTCCGGAATGGTGCTGGCCAGTGCTATCATTATGGCATATCGCCTTGATATACCTCTGTCTCACCCCAGTACCCAGATAAGACATTGGGCTGCACATGCAGATGCCCACGGGATAGTGAGGATTTGCTGCTTTGATGGCATTCCTTCACTCTCTTATCCCGACCAGCTTGTGCATGTGTTGTGGACTTGAAGCAGGAAGAGTTTTTCTGTGGACATCTGCACCTTCGCATCCCTGAGAATTCCTTGCGCTGAGGATTGTAGGCACCACCAGCACATGTTCATTATTGTCGTTATCACTGTTGAAGTCGTCTGTAGTTTGTTGCCATCCTTTGGTGCAGAACAACGATATGTTGTGCTGTACATAGAGGCATTTTTTTGCATTGTGGGGGTAAAAAGTCTGCGTGAGTTTCTGTACAGATCCGGGGGCCCTGTGTTGCTTGGCACGGCCATAGCTGCAGGAAGCATGATTTACCAGAAGCTGACTGGGTCTCCAATAGGTCCAGTTTGGTGCAGTTTTAATGCAACGGTGTGATGTGCCAGGCAGCACAGGCCAAGTCTCGAGCAAGCCGCTGTGAAGAGCTGGAAGCAGAGAACAGGGTGCTCAGGGCCAGATTGGTGGTCAGCAACGACAGGGTGAAAGAACTGGAATCCGTTTGCTCCATGGTGCACAAGAAAGGGGAACATGCGCAGGTAGATGTTCGTGTTCTGTGCTGAGGGTGTGTGGCCGGGGGCAGGTTTGGGGTGAGGGGGCAAGGTGGCCCCAGAAGGGATCTCTGCATTGTACTGAAGCTGGAACATTTTGATGTTTGTGGCGAGCAACAAGCCTGGTGATGTATTGCTGAAGAGACCCATCAGGCAGCCCATGTGTGCTGTTGCCATGCTTTGCTTCTTAATCTGGTCTGGTTCTTATTAGGCAAGGGCAAGCACCGAGAAATGGGACAAGATACGCAGCCTGGAGTGCGAGAGGGACAAGCTGCAGAACGAGCTTCAGGAGCAGCAGATGCTGCTTGTTGAGCACAGGAAGAGAGCTTCTGCAGCGGCTGTGTCCAGGCCCCAGGTTCGTTGCTAGTGCCTCATGTACATCCGCAGGAATCTACTTGGATGGTTCTGGTTGTTTGCTCAAGACAGGATGAAATACTACCTTTCTGCTGTTAAACAATGTTGGGACTGCCTTTCTATATTTCAGACATATCTTCCAGGTGTTCGTAGTCTGGATGCATCACAGGGAGATGGAAAATACTTTTTGTGCAGGTCTGGACCTATTGGTATCAGTTCGATTGCTGAAGCTTGCTTCTGGTGTACACAGCTTACACCATAGCTGGAAACTGCGTGCAGTAGGAAAGTGCTCATTGCCTGAGGAGTGTCAAATGCTCCTGAGCCACTGATCTGATAGTGCCACTGTTCCCTTCTCACCCATGACTACTCTGATGTCATGAAAAGCCAGACTTCCCTTTATAAATTCTATATAGTATGGCTGCCCTTCCTTTCAAGTGCACGATGACTTGTTGGCTGCCCCGCACTCAAGCAAACCTTCTCACTGGCAACACTGCAAGTGGCAGAATATGGCTGGCACTCTGGCCTATTGGGAACAGCGCATGTTGACTGCTTACGAACGTGAGCACAATCAACATGGTTGATTGTGGTGTTGTCATCAAGTGCTTGGACAGCTGAACCAACAGTATGAGGGAGATAAACCAGTTTTGCAGTTGCTGGGCTGTCCTGCTCCTCGGCACCTGTAGTTCTCTTGATCAGTTTGCTCACAATCATGGAAAGACACTGTAGAGGCATTGAAACTTGTCATTACTGATGCAACATTTCAACAGTTGGCTGTTGATTGACATGGTTTATTTAAATTCAGATAACATATCGCATGTATGAAATAAACATGTAAGTTTATGTTGGAATTTGTGTGGGTCAACAGCTAGTTGGAAGAGTGGCTGAAACAAGCACCACATGAAAAGGCCACGGCAGCATCTCTCCACTTTCAAGCTTATTTGCTACAGCACAGTTCGAGACACATTGCAACTTGGCATGGACAGCAATGGGCACCTTGCTGCTGTATTTGCTGACTGTGAGAGATCACACGGTATTACATTTGTCGATTCCCTTGCTTAGCTTGAAGGATGAAGGCAGCAGTTACGGGACATATCTGTGGAAGGCCATCTTTTCCATCGTGTGCTCTTCATCCTCCAAAAGAATGAAGTCATCTGGCTGTTTTTCTCCTGAAGTGACGGATGAAGGCAGCAGTTAATTGGTGGTAATGGTGGGACGTATCTGTGGAGGCCATCCATCCATCATGTACTCTTCAGCCTCCAAAAGAATGTAGCCATCTGGCTGTTTTTCTCCTTATGTGATGCTGTGCTTGAGCAGGTGACTCGAACACATGCAGTCAATGGGAGCGACCACTCATCAGGACCTGCAGCATTGTCTGGAAAGGGAGTCTTTGGCCCGACGGGCAGCTGAGGAGCGCTTGAGCTTGGCGGAGCACCCGCTGAAGGAAAGGGACGCTGAACTGAGCTGGCGGAGAGTCTCTGCTGGTCAGCCAGCGGCTCCAGAAGCCAGCAAGAGCCCAGATGGCGATGTTCTGGCGCTGGTCACTCAACTTCAAGCTGACATGAAGGAAGCTGCAAAGATGTTTGCTTGTGCACAGACCCAGCAGGTTGGTGTCATGAGAACTGCGTTTTCAGAACTTGCGAACAAAGTGTTGTTCTGACAAATGTGTTTTGCCAGCTAACGGTAATGGTTTGATAACTTCTGGAAAGGAAACTAACAACAATGCAGTGTTTGATGATGTTTTTGGCATGAATGGCAAGTTCTTGGCAAAATTGATAGGCTCTATGGTGGTGTGTCACACAGGCCAGCTGCGATCGACTTCGGTCCTGTCCTGAGCAGGCAGACCTGCAGGCTATTGAACTGAAGACGGGAAACTTGAAATTGAGAAAGGCTGTCGATGACAAGAGGGCCAAATCGATGAGCTGCACAGAGGCACAGGCACCACAGGTGCGGCTGTGAACCACACAAGAAATGTTTGCACTGATGGCATGCTGCCACACAACTAGCAAGGTGCAAGTGAACCAGTACACAGTGATATGGAGATTTTGCTAGTCCTAGAAGTTTCGCACTCGTGTTTACACATTGTGGTCCTGCTGCAGTGGAGGGATAACACCAGTGCAGAGCTCAGTTGTGGATATGAAGCGAATGAAGTGCGTGCTCATGACTTTGCCAAATTGCGGAAAAGGTGATGTGGTGTGTGTGCTTTGCTGCTGCTTGAGTACCACTCAGTGAGTAGCGTATGGGACTCTGTCAGGTGACAAGCCCTGCTGCTGCAGGCCTCTCCCTGCAACTGCACAAAGAAGTGGAAAATGGGCGAGCTGAGGTGGCACGACTGAAAGTCGACAAGGATCGGTACAAAGACCTTGCGAGGTCAAACAAAGCAGCCCTCAGCACTGTTGAGGTGAGCTTGCGCTGCTGAAAATGGCAGCTGATATCCTGGAAAAGGGGACGATGGTGGCTGCGAATTTTCATCGCGGTTGCTCACATTCATCGCGACAGTAAAAGCATCTCCTGCATGACTGACTTTGCACACTGTTGACGGCAGGAAGTTCCTGGTCAGCTCATAAAGGGGAAGGATGGTGATATGGCAGGATTGATAGCAGCGCTCGCAGAAGCACAATACAAATTGCCAGCACTGTCCAAAGATTTGGATAGGGCCAAGGACTCTGGAGCGAAAGCATATGCAGATCTGCATACCCACGTGGAGCAACTTAATGGCGAGCTCAAGGGCGCCAATGTAGGGTGCTGGAGTTTTGGCACTGCCTCCATTTTCGCTTTCAGGCCTTGTCTGTGCCCGTGCTCAGGGGCTGCTGGCGTGGCCGGCTGGCTGACTTGAGTGCATTTACTTTCCCCTATCGGTAGAATGCAGCTGTCAAAGTCCTTGTCCCGGAGTGTGATAGCCGCCAAAGTACAGCTTCACACATGGACAGTGGTGGAAGACAGTCCAGATCTCTGGGTGTGATTCTTGTGTTGCCAGGCCGAGCTGACAGATGGATTGTGGGGTTAGCAGGCACGTGGGGCACACTGTGGAAAGTGGACCCTGCTGCTGCATGAAAGTTAAAAATGAAACCATCAATATCATCAAGTAATGTCTCAGGTGGTCATGCAGCTAACGATGAGAGTCGCATTCCTCTGAATGCATTTGCTGTGAACATGCAGAGCACACCCTTGCAGCCAGCAGGTTGTGTTGGTGCGAATCCACAGCCAATAATGACGCAGTCATCTGCGTCATGAAAATATGTTGAATGATGAGGTTTTGCTGGTGATTTGCTAGTGAGGAATCGTTGTGATTGCCATAATAGTGATGCGAAGTGCGTGTGTGTGCTTGTCAGTTGCGTGTCAGGGAGCTGGGCGAGCAGAAGCAGGCGCTGGAAGAAAAGTCCAGAGGCCTTGAGGCGCAGCTGGAGGCAGAGAGGGCTAAGAAGCTGCAGGGCCACAGCCAGGCGAACGCCATTTTCTTCTGTATCGCTTATACTTGCTCCTCGCCGTCTCCAGCTCTGCTCTCAAGACTTTGTTAATGGCCACCAAGGTGGCCACACCAACGCCCAACTCCGGAGCTGGGCAGCGGGACCTGGCTTTAGCTCAGCGATCTGGGCTTTCAACGGCTCCGACTCCTTGACTGCGTCACAGTTTGCCCTGTACAACTTGTCGATGGTGTGCATTGCCCCCCTCAGGGCTTTATGATCAGTGCTTCGCCGCTTCCTACGCCTCACTTTCCGATCGCCACGAGTCCCCGTGGTTCGCTCGACGTCCACGACCACGTCCACAGCTGCACTGGACCCACCCGGCAGCATGGCGTTCACGTCCCAAGGGGTACCGGAGGCCAAGGCACAGGCCCCAAGGTGCGTCGCCCAAGTGCAGTCGCTGGGTGTTGCGATGTCGGCTGTTAGGGTGAGTCTGTGCTTCCGCCAGTACTGCTGTGCACTGGAGATCACGGATGACTCAATGTACATCGCCAGCCACACGTGGCTGGCGGGCTCAAGCTCATCGCAATCTGGCTGGTTTTGTGGTGCAGCTGCAGGATCCGGGCCCTAGCCATGAACGGGTCCAGCGGCTGGGCGGCACGGCGTCGGGAGCACGTATGCGCGGGTGTGAGCGTACCTTGCAGGGTCCTCAGCATGCGTGCTCGGCACACGCTTACGTAGAGGGTGATGGACTGCCGCGGCTGGCGGGCTTAAGCTCATCGCAATGTGGCTGGTTGTGTGGTGCGGCTGCAGGATCCGGGCCCCAGCCATGAACGGGTCCAGCGGCTGGGTGGCACGGCGACGGGAGCACGCATGCGCCGCTGTGAGTGTACCTTGCAGGGTCCTCAACATACGTGCTCGGCACACGCTTGCGTAGAGGGTGATGGACTGCCGCGGAGACTTGGGCACACGTGACGGAGCGCAAAGATGGCGCAGCGCGGCTGCTGAGGAGGAGGACGCAGCGGGTCACAGCACAGCAGTGGGAGCAGGATCGGAGGTGAGGTCCCATGTTTTTTTTGTCTGCACCTGGGGTGCTGGGTTGCTGGAGGATTTCTGCAAGCAAGGGGGAACGAAGGCAGTTTGCAATGTGCCCACAAGGATTCAACCCCACTTCGTGGCCCAAGAGCTGCGGCGCCGTCCTGCGAGATAGGCGCAAGCGCTCGTGTGGATTCCTGGGTGGTTGCCTGGGTGTCTGGCTTCAGGCCTGCTATGGCCATGCTGTGTGTTTCCGCCCTCGTTGTTGGAAATTCGTTGTTTGGATTCCGTGGATTCTGTATTGCTGCCTCTCTCGCGCCTCGCTCACTGCGCGCGATCGCTTCCTGGCTGGTGGGGAAGGGGGCCGGGTGCACAGAAAGGGATGGTTAGAAAGGGGATGGTTAGGTTGGGGCTTGGGGGTGGTGGGGTGCAAACGGCTGAACGCGAGGATCCCGGCGATCCTCGCGAGCATAGCCCCACAAAGAGCTGCTCCGGGAGCCCGCCGCGCCGCTGGGCCCGTGAGGATCGCCGAGATCCTCGCCGGCCCGCGCGTCCAATGTGAGGGGTGCAGGTGCCGGTGCCTGGACCCTCCATCCGCCCCCCGCCGGAATTCGAACCGGCGGGGCGATGATCGACACGACCTTCGCGGCCAGAAGGGTGCAGCAGGCTTCTAGCAGCCTGTTGCACCTTTCTGGCCACAAAGATCGCCTCCGCGATCGCGCTCCCCCGCCTGGAACGGCGGGCCTGCAAGTGTGGGTCAAGATCTCACACTTGCAGGCCCCTCTCCTCCCGCCGTGCGACTCGCGCAATCCCCACGATCTTCGCCGGCCAACGGCCTCAACAACCCCCTGGGAGGTTGTTATGACCGCTGGCCGGCGAAGATTGCCTCGATCGCCCTGCAGTCCCCGCCCCTTATTGCATTGTTGTGCTTGTTGACAGGCGCTGCCCAACTGCCATAGCCAGTTTTAAGATTGCTTCAAGATGGCTGGGCTGAGACCAGCACGCACGACAGAGCAGCAGGACTTCGCCACAGTTGGCTGGCTGGGCACTGCAAGAGACAAGAGAGGATGGGGGAGAGCGGGCTGCAAAGCGATGCTTGTTCCAGGGCTTGACACTTTCGCCCCAGTGGGCGTGTGACCATGTGGGGTATAGAGAGCTTGGGCCGCGTTGTTGTAAGAACAGATCTGTAAACCTGTGTGCCGCAGCTGAGCGTTGGAGTACAGACTGCGTGGTCGTGAGCGGTCGGGATTGCAGGGGTATGGTGGGCCCACGTTGATGAGGAACCGTTAACCTCGGAGGGTTCAAGCCGTGCACAAGAACAACTCCAGGGAAGCCAATGGAAACACACAGGCACACGGGCAGCTGTGGGACGGCGCGCATGCAGAGCAGCGGCGGAGCAACCAGCCCCCTTTGAAGCGGTCCCTGAAATGCATCGCACAGCGCCTGCCGCAATTCCCTCCCACGAGAGCGCAGGCGCTCCCACGCGATCCCACGCAGGGAATATTCTCCAAGCATCTGCAGGCGGGGGCCGCCCCACGCGTGCCGTCGGCCTTGGACGCAAACCCCGCCCGTCGGGCCACCAGCGCTGCCGATGCAAGCACACATAGTTCCCACGCAGCTACCCCCCCACGCGTGG